TCCTATTAATAACTATATCTTCGAATTCCATTATCGTTTTTTCGTTATCATCTAATATTAACGGATAGGAACCATATACACAAAAACACAGACCTGGCGCGCGAAATACAGTGAATTCTATAACCTCCAAAGATAGTTGTCTAGCTGACTCACATCAACGCCTACGCATGTCAATTGTAGGGTTATATTTATGACAGATGATGAGGCATAGCACAATACTACCGGAGAGACAACGCGTGTCAACGTACTTATAAAGGATAAAACGCTGGTGAACTCTTGATGCGCTTTACCGTAACGACCAGGATAAGAAGAGAGAATTTTCCACACGTTTCTTCGCCAACAATTCACTAGAAGTACTTCAACCGAGTCATGAAGTACTGTGTATCCCACCAACCAAGAGAAAAAAATTGTAGGTATATTTTATTTGTATTGAATTTGAATAGTTTGCACAAAAGTAAACCGAACTGCCTACTACTAGAGGAAAAATGTTATTTTAATAAAAACAGTCCATTTCCTAATATAACATATTTTTTGAAAATTGTATGAACGATTGACGAACAACATACGAGTTACCGATTGAATGAACGTGAGAATTCCTTTTAGTTTTACAAACAAGAATTTATTTCACTTTAAATTAAGAATATGAATGTACAGAAATTCTGCTGTATTATAACGATAACGTAATCTTGTTTTCTAAAGTTTTAAAATTATTACCGGCTCGACGCAACTACCAAAACTTTAATTTTCTATTTTTCCTCATAAATGTCACGTAAATTGCTTTCCTTTAGTTTTATTATTATATTGTTATATTTTTACGATGACATTTTTCATTTTGAGATAAGCATTTCGTCACTGTCTTTAAAAACACACAGAAGATTCTAAAAATACATTAACTACCTACTGAACTAAACTTTATTAAATTCAAAATAAAATATAAAAGCTTCAAAAATGTAATACTGTCACCACTTAATAAAAAGTCCTGGCGTCAAAATAGGTTTGTTACATTTTAAACACACATTGTTTAAAACACCAAAATTTACATGGGTCATTTTAAACTGTTTACTTTTGTTTTAAACAGTTTTTTCTTTTTTAACATAATTTGTAATAAATGGTCAAATACTCGAAAAGGAATCATTAAAGAAGGCGCTACACAAAAATAATATTTCATAAAAAACTTCTCGATAAAATTAAAAATGATAGATTAAAAATTTCAATTATTTTATTTCAAGTTTTGAAAATTGCAAGATAATCATAGAATTAAAACAATATCGAATTATTTCATAAGTTTTACAGAGCATCAAAATTTAACCGCATCTATGACACTAAACAGTCAGTTACTACGCTTTCTCTGACACTTAAAACGGTGTGAGTACCGACATAATTTACGCGGTAATTAGAGTGAACGCTAAAACCTAATGAATAAATTAAAATTTGTTACGAGAATATTACAAAAATATTGGCACCAGTAATTTTGACGATTGTCATGCAAATTAAGCAGTCAAAAATACTTTGAAAATCAAAATATTTTACTTCAAACACTTTTTTGTATACTGCGATTGTGTATTTCGTTAAAAATACAACACAACAAACAATTGATAACCTTCAAGTTGTCCACAAAGTGTCGCTAGTACGGCGATTTCAATGTAATTTATCAAAGAAAAGTTTAAAATCGAAAATAAAATTGTCTTCAAAATGTGTTTCTTATTTTTTTACTTTATTAACTTGTATAATAGAAACACGCAGTGTGAACGAAAAACACTTGCCACTCGAAGGTCCTACACAACAAACTCTTCACATCATAGACACTCGAAGAAAAAGCAGGCAATCGATTTTCACTCAATGAAAACTTTCGATGACGTTAACAAAGTACAACACGCGAGTTGTTTTGATAATATAATCACACAACAAAGCAATAGGCACGATCATAATTATTCTCCTTCCGGTTATTTCCAGCATGGTAACGATGGAACATTAATAATATTACACTAAATTAGTATTAATAACTTAAACCACCGTTGGTCGTCATACGGAAATGATTGGAAACGATTATTGATTAGCCCTAAACCACAGTCTGCGAGATATTATACTATAAATGCCACGGTAAACGAACACACGTACTCTGTATGGCCGTACCGCAACATTTTGGCATAATCCATATGGTTTGGACGCAATGAATAAACATAGCAGTGTATATACAGCCGATGAGCCCCACAGATGGTTTTACAATCAAACTAGAACACTTACAAACACCCTCTTTATTCCTAAAACCACATTTTGTTGATCCGCGAGTTTATGAACAAGTAAAAGTAATAAAAACTGTAAAACCAAATGTCTATAGAAAGAAAATATACAAGTGAATTTAACCGAACGAGATATAGAAAAAAAGTAGCTCTTTATTAAAAGGGTTCCATAGACGGCAACAAACCACACGAGACAGGAGTACAAATTACGGATTCTTATTGAACAAGTTTTTTCGCTTTACATAATTGAAAAGTCCTCGTCTAACATAGCGAATGCTAAAATGAATATATTTTACAAGATTACACTCAAGTTCATCTACCGTTCGGAATAAAAATAACACAGATCTTTTTGTACTCATGAAATTGTTTTGTTCTTAAAGATGTACTACACGACTAATTGAATAGTTGAAAACAGTGAAAGATAAAATAATCAAACTACACAAATAACATTTCAATATTAAAGAAAAAATAGTAACGCAATAATTAAAATTAAGACGTACTTTTTAGAAGAAGATAAAATAAAACTCGTGTGTGAAAATTCATCGCGTAAAAAGCTTTAATAATAATAATAATAGCTCTATTATCAATTTCTAATAGTTAAATTTATAGTTGAATATTTTTCAAGTTCTATGTTAACGAACTGAAAACCATAAATTTTTAAAATAATTAACAATTAAGTTTTATATATTACTACCTTTTGACAGTGAAAAACTCATAGTATCGTTGAATGTTAAATGTCTTTTTTTTAGTAAAATGTCAAGTCAACCGTATCTCTTACTTCTTCAGTCCAGACACAACGTTAATTTATTATGCATAACGACCGGGGCATTTAATTCGATAGTCCATTTACCCAACTGCTGCCGTTACAGGTCAACGAAAGTGTTCACACTCAATGTACTATTATAATATACCAAAGGAACACATCCGGAAAACGATAGGCGGCTGCCACCGTTTGGGCGCTAACCCAAGTAAAACCACAGTGCACGTACTAGAAGCAGAAACTATTTCTAGGACTAATAGCAATTATTATCGTCTCGACATAAGGTGATTTTTTTTCATCTGGCCGATGAACGCGACGATTGAATTTTGACAAAATATTTACTGCCGTCTGTTCTCATTTGACCTTCCCATTTTCCTTCTTGGCACACTTGATAGCTGAGTTTTACTTTAAATATATGTAAGTATTGATACGCCACACCGAGTTGAAATGCGAAATTGGCGTGAAATTTAACAACGTTTGGCACAAACACGAAGGGGAAAACTCAATTGAAAGACGATACAGTATATAAAGTGAAACAACGGCGGTTCAAGCCCTTAACAGAGTTCCTTTAACGAAACTCGTCAAAAGTACGCTTAAAACACTATTAAAGACAACAGATTGATATATGTATAATGATATACTTCTCATTCGGACGGAAAAAATGAGAATTTTTAACTAAATGCATTTAATGGTAACAAACTAATAAATGAAATTCCTTTTGAGTTTACGTGTCAAAGCGTAAACAACGTAATTTTAAAAGAGAAATACAAAATAATCGTTTGGATCTGTGTTTTCCTAGGCTAGCATAATATTCAATGCATCGCTGAACCGGCGCGACAAACGAGAAAAATTAAACGTAGAAGTCCGTCAGCCATTATGAAATACGAGCGTAACATTAATTACAACAGGAAGAATCATACATTAAGAACCTCATTAGAGTAAACGATTTCTAAACAATTTTTTTTCATTAAATAGAGAATCATAATTTTTAATTAATCAACGACACTGCCAATGCTTTGTTCTGTGTATATATATATATATATGCGCTACTAATTAAATAATATAAGTTTATAAAACAGAAAATACTAAAAATTCATTAAAAATTAGAAAAATCCTATTTAGAAATTTATATAATTTTAATTTTAAATAATCTAGGAATATTTTAATCAGATAACTTAATAATACGTCTTGTGATTTAATTCACAAGCTTCTAGTTCTATACAAGTATCAAATTTCCAATGCATTTTCTAAAATTTAATGTTCTAGTAATATTTTAAGATACACTAGTAGTATTCTGTTCATCACAATTTACAAAGAAATAAAACTTTGAACTATAATAAGTACTTTTAAGTATTAATTGAAAAAAAAAACACGCTTCTATTAAATTACAAATTATTAAGTTTAAATAAATAAAATAATTTAAAAGAAACGTTCTCAATGGGGGAATTTCAGTTTGTCAATTTCATTCGAATAAAGTACGAAAACTGATCATAATAATGGCTCCATCTATCGGTCATTTTTAGACAACAAGAGTTACAATAAAAATTATTTAAAATGAAATTACCGAAATTCAATGACTTTTTCGTAGTAAAAAATAATTACAGATGCAAAATTGATAATTTTATGTTGAATTTTAAGACACTTAAAAATATTTATCTACAGACAAATGATTTTTTGATATCCACAGAAATAATTTTTAAGGAAAACAATCATTGGAAAGATAAAAAGAGTAAAAATATTTTTCTTTATGATTTATAATATTTAATTCTACACAAAATTGCATAGCTAAAGATGCACAAAAAAAATGTAAAAAAAGGATTCAATAACAAGATTAACATATGCAGTTTGATAATTTCTGAAAACAAAAACCTATTAAAAACGTTAATGCATATAACTAAGAAAATTAGAATACATATATACATCTCACTAGAGTGGAAATGGAATAAGTATTACTAGATAACCTATCATTTAAAATAATACTAGATTATGTAACAACTTACCTGTATATCAAATGGAGTCATAACATTTCCCTGCGTATCTATAGCACCTTGCTGTTGTTGAGCATTACTTGCATGATATGAATTCAAATCCATTTGTTGAGGGTCACCCCCCTGTACTTGAAATTGTTGATGTAAAGGCATTGTCATTCCATGATGATGATGATTCAAAAGTTGACCCTGATGTAAACCGTGTAGGCTATCAATTACAACAACATTATTAGAACCAGCATTTGCAACTTGATTGCCTGAGACTGCATTCATTCCATTTTTATTAATTTCTTCTTCACTAGGAGATGCTTGTCTACTAAAAAAAAATTTTTTAGATCAGTTAATATATAGTAATAATAATGTATTTATTATGATATTTAATAATAATCTCTATAAATTTCAACATACGAATTTGCAAAAAAAAAATTATAGAAATATTAAATGTATTCCTAAAATTTAAGAAATATAATAATTTAAAATACCAATAACAAACTTCAACATTAATAAAAATTTTTTTATAAAAATTAAAAATACTTATAGCATTATTTATTAACCTAAAATTCAATATTTTAATTAATAATGGAAAAACTTTAAAAATACACTGGAATAATATACATTTTCAAATATGGATCTAAATATAATATAAATCTGTCTGTTATTTATAGAAAATATTTTCTAGCTCAATTATAAAATTTTATATCCTTAAGCAATTTCTTCTGTGATTATTATATATATATATAAAACCTACATTATTTGATTAAGAAAAAAAACATTAGAAAAATAATTACTAACTGTTGACATGTTAATCCATTATCAAAACTACATTATTTAAACTAAGCAGTTGATTGCACCAACAACTTCTAAATTATACAATTTAATTATTACTATCGTGATATATTTAAATCATGAAATTAATTAAGTCCACATATTTTTCACTTTTTACTTATTAAATAGTATTAATACAACTTAAAAAAAAAATGTCTATCCTTAACAGTCATTCGATACAATATTAAATAGACCACTTTTTTTAAAGCCAGATAATTTATTTTATTTTATTTTTTAAATATTCCAAATCAAATGAAACAAGCAAATTTACACAACATAAATATTAAATGAATCAAAAAGAAATAGTTCTAAATGATTACAGAAAAATATTCATACAGGAAATTTAAAATTATTTTTTTTTTTTTTTTGTAATAACTGTTTCAATTCTCATATTCCAAATTAGTAATTATTTAAGTAAAACATTAAGCTCTTAAAAAGGAAAACTGTACATCATGTTTATAAAAAAATTTTAATTTGTAATAATCTTAGATAATTGGATGTCCTTATTTCAAAAAAAAATAAATTATAATTATATTTACATAATTATTTAAATTTAAAAGAATGTAATGAAAATTAGTGGATCATTTATTTGCAATAACACAGTAACTTTATCAATGAAACCCATAAATGGCTTCTTTAGCTAGAATGAGGTTGTCAGTTTGACAGCTAGCGTAAAAGTTCTGTCAAATCATTTGGTTCAACTCATCCCAAATAATCGTGATAGTAAATTAAGGAGATGATGATTATAATAAATTATTCGAATTGAAAGTATTAATGCAATAACAAAACAACAATATTTTACATTTTTTTTTTTAGGACAACAACAAAAACTGGACAATTTTTAATACTAATAAGTATAATTTTATAATTATAATTTTCTTAATAATAATTAAATATTTATTTTTCTTAATAAAAAAAACATTACTGTATTTAATAAAAATAGAAACACATTTATACATAATTTTCGTAAAAAATTGAACTAAACTAAATTTATTGATACAGTAAAACTAGCAATTTTTTAAAATTATTGTGGGCGTTGGAGCAAAAAAAAAATCAATTATGAAAAAATTGATCAATTTGATCATTTTTTGGAAATGATTTGAAATATTTTATTTGCACAAAAGTAATATATATGTAGATTATAATAATACAATAAAACTACTTCTACATTCAATTTTAATATTATCATTGATACCAACGAAAGTGTAAATATGAAGTAATTATTTTTAACAAATTCATTTTACCCAAAAAGTGTTTTACACCACTTTAACTCCTACCTCAAAGTTATATTAATTATTAAGAGTACTTCTATTGATATTAAAATGCATTAAAATTTTTCAGAAATAATAGTCTCGTTTTTCAAAATCTCGAATTAATGAAATTTATTTAGTTAAATTAAAAAAATATATATTATCCAATTTTTTTTTTTATTTTGATAAACAACTAAAAGTTAAATTTGAAAGAACCTAAGTAAATGGTTTTCATTGGAGTTATCTCTAATAAAGATAAATTTAAAAATGTAAAACTTATTAATTATCACTAATATCAATACACAGAGGACTCTTATAAATTTTGACAAACCATGTTAACACTAACTTTATATATTTATCTTCATCCAAACCATTTTGTACAACAACAATTCCATTTTGTTGAACAACAGCAGAACAGTTTCCATTTTCAATTTCTTTTTTATTACTATTTACAGAATCATATGGCGAACTAGGAGGTTTATCTTTTTCTTTTTTTATTGTTTCACCATCACTCTGTCATTTAAAAAAAAAAATTTTTTAATTAAAAAGAGTTATGTTTAAATGTAGATTATAAATTAAAAATATTAATATGATTTATTACTCACTATTACTAAACCTCTCATTCTAGGTTCTAATGTTTCCATTTTGTTGGGAGTACTTGCTAAGACATACTCGACCATTTTCATGCCAATTCCTGCCTCAGATGATCTGGGTGATAAAATATTAGCAGAATCATTACCAACTGGAAATCCAGCTCCTCTTCGTGCTATAAATAATAGATTTACTATTAACCTTAAAATTATCTAATTCAATTAACAAAAATGTATTTCTTATACATCATTTTATATTAAAATTATTTTCTTATACAAAACTATTGAAATCTTTAATAAGATGTTTTCGATTTTAATTTTTAAAATAATAACTATAAATAATAGCGCAAATATATAAGAATAATTTATAATTTTTTATGAAGCAAAATTTCCATTAACGTTAAGTGTTATGATTTTCTTTAAAATCTAAATTTGTTAACATAAAGGCAACACATTGTAATTTACTTGATATGATAAAAGTTTTATAAGAAACCAAATTTTAAAACTACCTACAGACCGTACAAGATTCAATTTCTTTGATAGAATACTATTTACCGAAAAATAGAACCAAATTAATTAAATTCTGACTAATAAGATTTAAAATAAGTTATGAATTTAAAAAAGAAAAATATATTGGTCTTCAAAAATACTTCGATAATTTTTCATTAAATAAATGAGAACAATATATGTATGATTTAAAAATGGTAAACTCGTACAAAGTATATACATTAGGTTTGATAATATCACACATTTTATTTTACAGTTCTATTTAAATTAAAAAGACAAATGAAAAAAGTATGAAAAGTAGGAGGCAAACAAACACACTTCTTATAATTACATTTTATAAAAAAAAATCAAGCAAGTCATGTGTTACGACGAATCGTGTTGGTAAGACCGGTTATATTGTTTTTTACCTATTAGTATGACGTGTAAGCATATGTGTAGTAATAATGAAAATGAAAATTACCAGTCATAAGACTGGTTTTTTATTTTTTAGACGACTGATGTACGAAGACGACAACGGCAACGACTTTCAGTGCCATTGAACTTCATATTATTGAGTACACCACGAGTATATAACATCATCAGTATAACACAACTCATGGATAACTAGTAAATAATTTTATTAAGTGAAATATATTTTATTCAGAACTACATATAAACTCATCTACGTTAACGCCTATGCAACCATTAACATATGTTACGAATATATAATGATAACAATACCTTAATAAATACTAAGTTTTTATAAATAGTTTGGTTTGGTAAACATTCAAAAGTATACAGCTGATAATACTGACGATAGTGTGGGAACAAAGAATAAAACACATAGCCACCTAATTCAATACAATAAAACATTTAAAATAACGAACGCTAATACAATTCAACAACAAAAACACTCAACTTCTTTATTTAACACCAATGAACTGATAGTTTAATTTTGTATGGCTGCAAAAAACCTAGAGGAAAATTCTCAAAATCATTAAACATCAAAACAGCCTAATTTAATTTTGATCTCTAGGTAACATAGGCAAATAAAAAAAAAATAAGCTGTATACCAATGATGATGCTAATTAATTATAAATCCGAGTTATGTCAAACAATTTAAAATAAAATTCGACCTATATCATATACATTTTTTATGAGATAATAATAAATTTTAAGTTTGCTCACACTCACTGTTTGAACTCCACGTGGAGTCCCTCCACATCTGGTGATGATGATCATTCAAGTTCAAAATTCCTTTAGGTCCATCTTCTTTACCTTCTTCTACGCCCCATAACTTCTTAGTTGAAGACGCAATCTATAAAAAAAAAACAAATAATAGATTAGAAAACAATGCATTTTAAAATATCTACATGATTTAAAGCTAAATAATTTTACGCGCAAAACTTATTTTTTAATTATTGCAATTGCAGAGAATTTTCGAGGAGTATGAACGAAATATTGTAAAAATAATAATGAAATAATTGATCAATTACATCGCTCGTTGTAATGTTTTTTTATATTTTAATATTATTGATTAGATAAATATGTAGGGTAATTAAAATAAAAAATATGTAATATTATTTATATATAATAAGGGATTATAGCTAAATTCGTTAGGCAATAAATCAATTTTTGGATAAAACTATTTTCAGTTAAAAATAAATACTTAAAATTTAATAATGTTTTTTTATCAGCGATATAAATAAAAGTATTCTATAAAAAAGCCATATTGTCAGCATTTTCAAAATCTAAATTTAGTATTAATTCTGGCGCGACTAAAACATTTAATATGACTCTCCTGAATGATGATTAAAATTGACTCACATCACTTCCGCTTTAGCCCTCACGTATATATTTTTTTAGTTATATAAATAATTAAATTTAAATAATACTGTTAGTTAACTATTTTCTTTACACTCATTTAACATTAAATACTTCAACTCAATGATCTTAAATTTATAGGCCAAAAGAAGGCCTAACATAAATAAGTTGATAACGAAAATAATATATTTCTATAATTTTAATCAACCGAAAGCATAAAGCAAGTTTAAATATCCATACGGATATCGGGAAACATGAGTTATTGGAATTTATTAGGAGAACACGCGACACTGTGTCGGTGGAATTATATAGCAACCGGTTTTTGCACAAAATGATATGCTAAATCTAAATTATAATGATAAAAAATTCAATATACGCATTATACATCGATACGATACAAAATATACAAGACAGCTGATTGCTAAGAGCTCATGTCTTAGTATTAGAAGAAAAATAACTTGCTATATAATCACACCACATTGATAAAAGGGAATAACAAAAAAGAGAGGGAGAGTAATGTGAGCAAGGCAGCTGAGTTAAAGGGGAGAGGGTCGCTCGGTAGGAGACTGTTAGTGTGACCTTGACGTTGTCTATAAAGGACAATGTCCGAACCAAGGTTTCTACCACGGTGAACACATCCACATAAACTGTACTCCTCCCACACTGAAATATTACATATAAGATACGTTATACTATATTGTTATTAACCACAAACCATGTCATCAAAAATTAACGTATTTATTTATAGAATACTTGGTAAATATTTTGTGCTTGTCGTGATCAGAAAAAGACCCTAATATTAACTTGCTTTAGAAGACAAGGGAACGTGCGAGCGACCCTAACTTTTTTCAATTGTCCCTTAGCAGCAGTCAACCAACACGAACATACGCATATGTTGAGCAACGCTTATGTCGACCATCGTAACAAAGAATTACGTCATCTTAATATCTTAAAAACTCCACGAAAAATGCATCAATATCACATAAAATTTAACTTTTTAACGTTTAATACCAATTAAAAATATCAAATTAAATGTTAGTATCATTTCAATAGAACAATGAAAATAGAAATACATAAAAATATACAGATAAGACTTAATTTCAAAAGTAACAGTCACCACTACATAGATATAATTAAATTTAATTATGGTAACAATACTTTCATGAAATATTTTTGAAAACTTCGTTAAAAAAACTTTCAACGACAAATGCAATTCTCTGATAACGGACGTTAAACCAACAGATTCTTTTGTTAGTTCTTACATTTAAAGTTCAAATATGACATTTAAATATGAAATTAATAAAATTAACACTGGAGGATTTTTATCGTAATATAATTAGTGAACTTTTGACGTATAGTTGAGTAACATTTATGTAGTAGGAACAAATATTTTAAATGCACAGATACAGAAAAAACATGGCATCATATAAAATTAATATGCTCAACTAACGAATCTAAGCTTAAACACGTCTTTAAAAACATAGTCGTATCGAGCGAGTTTTGTTGAAATGTAAGATAGTATATGAATTTATAATTTAAGAAAACCAGACCACAGAGCACATAATGTAAAATAAATACTGAGAAAAATATCTACCACTAGTGATAAATAGAAACTAATAGATATTAATTNTGTAAAATAAATACTGAGAAAAATATCTACCACTAGTGATAAATAGAAAATAATAGATATTAATTTCAATGAAATATTAAACACAAAAACATTTAACTTCTTTTCAAATTCACATTAAATATGTGCACGGAAAAAAATAATAAACACAGTTTTTCTAACGCGTACATGATATTAATGCAAAATCAGGATAAGTTAAAAAGTATAATAGCTCATTTTACGTTTTATTGTTTACTGCTACATATTATAACTTAACATCATACAATTTTAATAATATAAAAACAGGTTAAATTTGAACAATTAAATACATATAACAAATAAGATAATTGAAATTAAAATAAATAATTAAACCAATAAAAGCCAAGCAAACTTAATATTGTATAGATAAATGGTACGTTCAGATTTGGTGTTGATACTATGCTAATTAATTACATCCGGGTAGCGACCAAAGGAAATCAAACTTTAGGCTCACTGGTTTTTTAACGTTGTACACTATATACTTAATACAAATGGTTTATTATTTTACTACGTTTAACCAAAACAGAAAATACAATGAATAATAGTCACACACACAACATATATAAACAATGCGTGATCTAAATTAAATAAAAAATGCGTCTTTGAATACACTGTTATCGAATGCTTTCTTCCTTCGGGTATTAATAAAAATTGAGAACAGCAAGATTAAAAAGACAAATTATAACAAAAAAAAATTAAATTACGAAAATAAATAAAACACAACTTTGGTTCACCTCATTCTAAGTCAATATATCCGCATTTTTAAGTCGGTAAACCAATCCGTAACATATTATATTTAAAATCATAGGTGAATGTGTTTTAATAATAAATTTAATAAGAAATATTAAAAACCTGTAGTTAAAATCAAACAAACTTAGCAATTGTTTATTTATTTAGTTTCTACCCACCAAAACTTTATGTTTGTATTCAAAACTGTACACTTCATATACTATTTATCCGCATGGGAACAAAATCGGTAAACCAATCCGTAACACAATTTTATTTTATAATCATAAGTTAGGACAAACAAATAATTACTAAAAACAATTTTACAAGCAAAAAATATCACGTTAAAACAATATAAAAAACATTTTTGTATAAACAACAATGGTCTCATATTTAAATATATCCGCATTTTTTATTGGAAAACCAATCCGTAATATAATATTTTTTTAATCACAGACAAATGTTTTCCTAGCTAAAAAATTTAACATTTGCATAATAAAAATAATATTGTCAATATTGAAATATAAAAAATGTACTTCATAAACGCTTTATCCGCATGAACAAAATTGGTAAACCAATCCGTAACTATAATAATTGATTAATCATATATACATTTATAACACTCAGTTAACAAACTATGATTAATTGATAAAAAAAATTATCAATAAACAAATACCTCATACTTTAAAATGTCCGCATTTGGAAATTGGTAAACCAATCCGTAACATAGTTTTTTATTTAATCACAGGCATGTTTTCCTAGCTAACAATTAAAAAAAAATTTAATGACGTAAACGGTGTAATACCTAAGATCAAAATATTTAACATTCGCTTGATAAAAAATAATATTGTCAATATTTAAATATGAAAATTTACTTTATATACATGTTTTCCGAGTGTAAAAATTGCTAAATCAATCCATAATAATTATAAATTAATAATCGTAGTAAAATACATATCATTTTTATTTTTTAATAATAAACAATTAATTTATTTGTCGTATAAATTGTTATTAAATTAACTAGTAAAATATTTTATTTATCAAATAATAGCCTCATTAAAAAATATCCGCACGTTAATTAGGTAAACCAATCCGTAACAATTTAATAAAATAAAATCATAGGCTATATTACCTAAAAAGTAACATGAAAACTAAATTTTAAATAAAAATATACAACTTTTTCTTATAAAAATTTTAATGCAAAACAATAAAACCAAAAATTTGAGTCATTTTTTAAAAATTAAGTATAAAAAAAATCAATAGATAATTTTATAAAAACAAAATTTCACGTCATATACATTTTGATATGTCAACATTGCAAAATCATTCTATAAAGAAATATTGGATTTAAATTCAAGAAATAAAATAGTACAGCATTTCTCCGACAGCTGTAGTATTCATATTAGCCAATGAATATTGTTTAACACGGCGGTCAACAAAAAATAATATCTGTTAAACACATCATGTCGTCTTTACCGAACACTATCTAGTAGAAAAGAAAAAGTTACCTACAAATAGTGTGTAACACTAACATCCTGTGCCAGCAATAGTCATAATTTTAGTGTTAATAATACAAAGTAATGAAAATTTAAAAAAAAAAACAATGTAGTGCGAATATTGTTATATACATTATAATATATTGTTAAAACGTTGGATAATCAGTTTCAATAATTGCTAACTAATGTTTCAGAATTAAAATATAGTGACAACTTTCTAAATATCAATAAGAAAAATATACGTGGTAATAGTTGACGCAAAATTAACAATTTGATAATGATTTTCTATAATAACGGGTTTTGTTTAAGCTATTCGACACCAATCGCTTATATATCCTGATAAATTAATTTAAGAGTGATTAATTTCAAGAAAAATGTCAGCTCCGAAAATTTAACTATAGGCTCAATAATAAATTTATAATTATTTAAATTAATCTGGAATTCTATTCTAAAATCACTCTAGTGGAGTATCTAGGCGCCCTGTATATGAAGAGGGGCTGGTATACGCAAAAAATTTGTTTACTATGTCCTCCAAACTGCATTCTTAATACATTTTTATTTGCGTAATGGAAGCTTTGAACCTTATCTTCTAGTGTCAGATTCTTGATAGAAATTTATATGCTCTCG